GCAGCACCAGGTCGCTGCCCACGAGCCATCAGTCGAGCAAACGATCTAGTGCCCTTCATTGGGCTCTTGCCTTTCTTTTTCTTATTTGCAACATCCTTAGCGGGGGTCCTCTCCCTATCGTCTCCACCACTCGATCAAAATCCATCCCACTGTCGAACACTATCGAGCCCACATTGGCCTCCACCTTATTGCTCTGAGAATGATTATCGCAAGCCCCATTTGTAGCCACACAGTGATCAATCTGAGTCAACAATTTAGAAGAGACCTAAGTTGTTTCCCCAAACTGCACCTTTGTCAGGTGAAGGAGCAACGGCCGGTCCTCACGAACCACAGATAAGGGGGGCAGCCACTTCATCTTCCATCATGGCCACCATCGCTTGCTTCTCCTCCTGATAATCCTTCCTCTAATAAAGTAATCGAAGAGTTTCCCAACACCTCCTCTTCCACCATTGCAATGGGCTCAACATCCTCATCTACCACCACCAATGCCATCGAGTTCATAGTCAGCGGATCAAAAGTTGGCCTTTGGGGCACACGGTTCTTCCTAGTTGCTTGACGGTGCCATTGAGGATACATGACAACAAGAATAGCGAGCACCACTTGAAGCACAGCCGTCGACCGAAAACGATGACCTGCGAACAGAATGGCAAGGGCCTTAACAGAGGTTCTATCCACGTCCTTCAACCCTGTGAGCAAAGAGGCAAGGGCCTTTCTTTCCACCGCCTTCAGCTCAAGCAAAAGGAAGACGGCACCGCCCTTTGTACATGCCTGCGAATAACACGAGGCCACCATCCGCCGTCAACACGATTCCCGCAATCTGCGCCTCAACTCCCTGGCACAGAGGAAATCCTTCCATTTTATTGCTATTACAATGTTTTACCTCTGATGGTCCTGCACTGACCTTGTGTGGTCCATTGGCGCGATCAGTAACGCTCGACGAAGAAACAGCCAGGCAATTGGCGAAACGGCCAACTGGAATCCAACGCTTGTGGATTTTTCAAATTTTGTAACTCTCTCTTCCCTGTCTTGAAAATCTGGGAACCATCCCTCTGCAAGTGGCTGGAATTCACCCTAATCGGCAGAGGTCTACGTCGTCGAACCACCTCCTGCCATCCATTTTTTTCCACTACATCATTAGTAACCTTGTGTAAACCAAGAAGGTTACTGTTTCTGCCCTTTGTTTCTTGGACTACTGCTATGGAAAAAAATTCTTGACCCACCTGTAGAGTTAGATTCTTTGGAGCGAGGGCCCCACCCAGTTTCCAGATACGGATCCTAACATATCACAAATCAACCCATCAAAAGCCATCCTATCAACATCATAGAACTGCCCACACTTGTTGGCCAGTTTATGAAAAGTAGACAACGACCAAGCATGAAAGGGAATGCCTGATAACTTAATCCAAATACTTTCTTTCTGCAAATTAAAGAGATGAGAATCTGGTTTCCAAAGATCAAGGGACAATAACTTGCCCCTAATACGAACAAAACGATTCTTCAAAGCCATCAAAGAATCTTCCTTCGAGCGAAGAAAGAAGATGATCTTATTCTCCCCCATAATTTTAACCTTCGAAGCATGAGACACGCTCCAACTCCTTCTAGCCCAATCAAAAAGGCCAAAAATATCAGTTGACGGGGGAGAGAAGGAACCCACCACTGAGAACGTCGCACCTTATAGAAGTCCTTCTGACAGATCATATCTGATAGTCTATCGACACTCTTGCGTGTTATTTCTTCATACAATTAAATGGCATTTATTGAACTTATTTTTTAGTTTGATAATGTGACAACGAAATATGGGGGTCTTAAAAATACTCCTAACTAGGGCTTTGCCTCAGGGAGATGCAAGTAAATTTTTTCAAGCCAAAAGATATTCTACTCTTGGGGGAGTAAAATGCTCATTTACTCCCTCGAATAAGATCCCATCAAGAGTTAACACTAGGACTTCAAATTTTGGGGATATAACCTCTACAACCTATAGATTAACCTCAATAAAAAAGAATAATCCTAATTATATCTTTTATGCAGTTGTAAAATATAATGTCTCGAGAATGAATGAGACCATCCAATTTTATGTCGATGAAATCTAAGTGTTAGAAAGCTCAAATTTTAATTATTATTTTTAGAATAATCATCTAAGTGGCTGTGAAAATGTCATATTGAAAAGATCCCTCCAAGTAGGTCTTTTAACTGAGGGAGTAGAAGCAAACTACACTCCTAAAGGAGCATAGTATACAAAAAGCACTTCTATGTAATCCGTAAACAAAAAGGGCCCTTTACCAGATTAAATTTTACACATACTTCACCAATTGGGAGCACTATCGGCTTAGATTTGTTTGCTTTGAAGTTAAATGAGATTTGTTTTTTTTTTTTTTTTTTTTTTTTTTTTTTTTTTTTTTTTTGAGAAATTCATCAAATCCCACTCAAGATTTGTTGGATTTGAAATTATGGAAGATGAATATTTCTTTTTTTTAGAGAAAATTATCAAATTGCATTTAAGATTTGAACTGCATGTAACATTTCACCCATTCAGGAATTTCCAACAATTTCTTTTAATTACTAACCTATGATGATGTGTATTTTGATAAACTATTTAAAATTTGATAAAAATATGACGAGCTATTTGAAATTTGAACAACTCTTAAATGTGATTTCATAAAGGAAAAAGTTTAGAGAAAATTACATAAAAATCTGTTATACTTTACGTTATTATTGATATACCAAATAGTTTCCGTTATAACATGTATGTCTGTTTTTTGCCTTTTATAACATAATTTTTTAAAAAAGACCACTTTACCCTTTTTCGGATTTTGAACATCCGAATTATTGGGATTTTCGGATGTTCATCATCCAAAAATGGGCTAAAGTTAAACCTTAAATTTCAGATGTTGAACATCCGAAATTAAGTAGTTTTCGAATGTTTAACATCTGAAAATATCCCAATAGTTTAACATTAAGTAAAACATTTTCGGATGTTGAACATCTGAATTTAAGAGATTTTCGGATGTTCAACATCGAAAAACAGAGAAGACGAAGGTTTATTTAACTATCAGGGTATTTTCATATGTTGAACATCCAAAAATCTCTTAAATTCAGATGTTCAACATCCGAAAATGTTGTACTTAACGTTAAACTATCAGGGTATTTTCGGATGTTGAACATCCGAAAATCCCTTAATTTTAGATGTTCAACATCCAAAAATAGGAAATTTAACGTTTAACTTTCGGCCTATTTTCGGATGTTGAACATCCAAAAAAAGGTAAAGCGGTCTTTTTAAAAACTTACATTATAAAAAGAAAAAAACATACATACATGTAATAACGGAAACTATTTGATATATCCATAATAACGTAAAGTATAACGGATTTTTATCTAAATTAGAGCCTACCTCAAAAATTTTACTAGAAGATGTTGTTGATGTCCAAATATCCTCAAATTGATCATCTTGACATCAAGATGCATGGATATAAGAAAATAATCAATTCAAGTTTTGGAAATAGGGTATTTTGTAATGCATTTTTGGACCGTCAATTTTCAAGATTTTCAATATTTTCAAGTTTTCATAGATCTGTCGATCTACACTATTTATGAAGCTTTATACTTTATAAATAAAGATGAAAATATATTTTAAGGCTATCACAAAGATTTCTCGTATTGAAACCACATTTCTCGACACTATTTGAAGGTGGGCTCTAATTTGATTGTTTAGACTTTAGAGCATACGCTCCATACAAACCACACCCTTTGATAAAATCTTCCTTTCTAAAAAAAGCCAAGTTCCTCAGCACCTGAGTGCGCAATCTGTGTTTACTATTGAGCCTGGAATCTTAATAACACCCCTCAAAAGTTGGGGCCACATTTTCTTGTTAGTTTCTACCCGAAGGAGTAAGGATACATTATGCTCCCGCTGGAGCATAAATCGTATTCCCCTATTAGTTTCTGCCCGAGGGAGTAAGGATACATTAAGCTCCTGCTGGAGCGCCAACCGTTCCTTTTATGAATGAGCACACTCCGTCCTAGCCCCCCTCACAACAAAATTGCAAATACCCCCGAAGGTGGGCTTCACAGACGACCCCAACCAAACTATATTTCGCAAGCCCCACGGTAAAAGTCAATTTTTTAGACAAAAAGTGTGAGACCGAAGGAACCTTTTGCCATACTGCTCTTCACCTGCTGGAGCCCATCACGAGATTGCCAGACCTCAAAAGAAATAGAAGCCAAAGTGCCAGATTGAGTACTGAAAGTGCCGAACAGTGTGAAGATAGATCATGTCACAACTATCGGATTGAGACATGGATGTGCCGGATCGTGTGAACAAGTTGCCGGACCCTTTGATTAGAGGACCGGCCGTAGGCAAATCATGTTGAGAAATATGATTTTTTGATTAAAAAGTACTTTTATTCAAAAAAAAATTTATGACTTTTTTTACTTCAAGGGTATTTGCTATAAAGATGTTTTGGGATAAAAGCTGCTAAATAAAAGTTTGGTTATAAAGATGTTTTGAGATAAAAGTTGCTAAATAAAAGTTCGGTTACAAGAGTTCGTCTAGAAAATCAGCTTTTGAGGACAATATGGAAAGAGTAATAATCTTACGAGACTCTCCTACATCCATATGTATAGGATCTCAAATAATTATCATTAAATTTAGCATAAATCTTTAAAAAAATTAAATTTCACGTCCATAATAACTTTTCTAGAGATATATGTCAAATTTAATGGTGATATTTTAAAATGTTTTTAAAGATATGTCTCAAATTTAATAGTAATTGTTTATTGTCCTATACACATAGGTATGGAAAGTCTCTTAGGATCATTACCCATATGGAAAGAAACTACCCTCAAAAGATCTTTAACCCTTTTTTTTTTTTTCTCTCCGTTTGATGATCCTGACATTTCGACCGTCTGATTCGTACAAGGAACGGCTGATAATTCATTCATCATACAAACAGTAATGTAGACGCTGGGTCGTGCTTTCAGGGTTTTAACATGTCAAACCTAGATAGAATTCCGACTTTTGAACAGGAGCAGCAAGAAGTAGATTTTCTGGTTCCTCAAAGTTCCAATCTTTAGAAAGAGAGGGAGAGATCACAGGCCCTCAAAAGTAAAATGTTACAGAAGGGTGAGGAATTTTTTAACTGGGAAATGGTATGCTTCCTGATTCCTCTGTGCTTTTAGAGAGAGGCAGGGTGAGAAATAACAATAAAAAGAAGTATGCCTACTTCTTCAAAATTTGGGCTTTTATCATCTTCTTATCAGCAGAGGTGCGTTCTTGACCTTCTCAGTTCATGGACACATTCTCTAGAGCTTCTTAATGTCTGTAATTCCAATTTCAACGCCCTAATTTTATTTAGAAGCAGGCGTTTTTCTTCCACTTTTTCACCACAAAATGAGGTTGAAATCTCAGAAGAACCCTTTAACCATTCGGGTTCTTCTTCAGTTATCAAAGACAATCAAATAGAAACAGTTTACAAGATTATAAACACCCAAGCTCGAGATGGATATGAAATGGCTGAGCTATTAGAGAAAGCTGGTGTTTCTCTGTCTACTGAATTGATTGATGGAGTTTTAAAGAGGGTGAGGTTTAGCCATGGAAGTGGGTCTCAGGCCTTCGAGTTCTTTTGCCTTATGGCTCGACAACGCGGCTTTTTTCACAGTTCGTATTCATATGACACAATGCTTTACATACTGGGAAGAGAGCGCAAGTTTGAGAAAGTTTGGGGTTTACTGAGAGAAATGCGCATAAAAGACCAATCTTTGATCACCCCAAGAACCCTCCAAATTGTTTTAGCTAGAATTGCTAAGGCTTGCTCAGTTAGACAAACAGTAGAGAGCTTTACAAGGATTCTAAGGTACTCTAAGCACCTCGACTCTACTGATAGTTTCAATGCTTTGCTTAGAACTTTGTGTCAAGAAAAGAGCATGGGCGATGCTCGAAATGTATATCATAGCTTGAAGCGCTCATTCAGGCCTAATATTCTGACTTTTAACATCCTTTTATCGGGTTGGAAAACACCCCAAGAAGCCGAAAGCTTCTTTGGAGAGATGATAGAATTGGGTTGTAAACCCGATTTGGTTTCTTATAATTGCTTGGTTGATGCACTATGTAAGGGTCGAGAATTAGATAAGGCCCTTAAGATTGTTCAGATGATGAGAGAGAAAGAGATTTACCCTGATGTAATGACTTATACTAGTATAATTGGGGGTTTAGGCTTGATGGGTCAGCCTGATAAAGCTTGTGAAGTCCTTAAGGAGATGAGGGAACATGGTTGTTACCCTGATACCCCTGCTTATAATGCAGCTATAAGAAACTTTTGCATAGCTCGAAGATTAGGCGATGCTTATAGGTCAATGGATGAGATGGTGATGAAAGGTCTAAGTCCGAACCCCACAACTTATAACTTATTTTTTCGGTGTTTTTATCAGTCTAATGATCTCTCTAGTGCATGGAGCATGTATCAGAGGATGATGGAGACTGGTTGCTTGCCAAATACTCAGACGTGTATGTTTCTTATAAAGTTGTTTAAGAGGCAAGAGAAGCTGGAAATGAGTCTTAGACTGTGGAATGACATGGTTGAGAGAGGTTTCGGTTCGTATACTCTTGTTTCTGATATTCTCTTTGATATGTTGTGTGATCTTGGGAAGCTAATTGAAGTGGAGAAATGTTTCTTGCAAATGATTGACAAGGGGCAGAAGCCTAGCAATGCTGCGTTTAAGAGGATTAAGGTTCTAATGGAACTTGCAAACAGGCAAGAGGCTATTACTTATCTCTCGAAGAAAATGGAGGCTTTTGCCTTTTCCCCACAGTTGAAAGAATAGTTTTGTTAAGAACACTGGTGCCAACATAGGGCTGCTTCATCTGTTTTTTGTGATTTTATGTATATTGTCAAGTATTTGAGTTGGATATGGTCCCCAGTTTTTAAATCTTTGTGCTTTTTGGATGGTATTGGTGTTTCTTGAAAATTTGGGGAACATCAATACTCATGCCAAAAGGCTCCATTCAACATCCACGGGGCTTCTCACGAGTTTTTTCTGTAAATTGTTGAGACAATCATTTCTGCGAAAGTGCTCTTTTTAAGGTCAGTTGTGCTCTGAATTGTTTCATCATATTACAAATCCATTTATAGAGAGAATGCAGCTTGAAGCTTCCATGTGAGGGTTCATGGAGGAAATGGCATATCAATTCAATCTAATCACCTCCATGTATATATCTTCTTCAAAATATCTTTATTTACATAGTTTGTGAACTGACATTTTACCATTAATAATTACACTTGGAGAATAACAGAATGCTTGCCTCGATACTTTAATATTTTGTGATTTATGATATCCTTAGCAAACCCTGGATTCATAGAACTAGGAAGTCTCAAAGGGATTAATATCATGGGACATATCAAAGAAAATTTAATATTGTGGTTGATAATCTTGATGAAGTAATGCCTAAGATCCTATGTCTACCTATATGAAGAAGAAATCATGTAAAGAAGGGGATTCTTATTTGTACAAATGGTACTTCGAACTTGGAACGAGCATAAAGAAATTAACGACACTTCTTTATCTTTTGAGTTGTTCTGCCTGATCAGTCGCTCAAGCTACCTTTTTTGTTATATGTAACTAAAATATGATGTTCAATGCTTTCCTTCTTGGGTACTCCATGAAGCTCAAAATTAATATTCATAGATTTCCTCATATCAAGGGTTAAAAAAAGATATAAAAGGTTTCCATTAGTTGAATTGTGAACACTTGGACAAATTACCATGCCTAAGGTTATAGCTCATGTTATTGTGGTGCAAACTCCTTGGCTTGTGAAATCTGGGTTGAAGCAGCATTTAGATGCAATTCTTTCATGCTTTGTTGACTGCGAACAAACTGAAATATTTTTAAGTTATGTTCAAGTGGAAGGCTTTAAAAGAGCAAGGAGAAGACTCCAAAGGACATAGATGGCAGAGTAATGAGAAGAGATAGGGTAACTTATGGTCTGACTTAGGCTATGGCCCATTATAAGCTGTACATATTACCGGTTTATGAAAATAGACGGTCTCAAAGACTCAGTTTTTCCTTGGTTCGTAATTTGACCTAGTCAATAACACAGTTATTCGGTCCAAACTGGGCCTTAGAATATACAAGGGCTGTATTTTGCAGATTGTGCTCTGAATGGTTTCTCCATGTAACTTGTACTTTTAATTTTGTTATACTCATCTTGATACTTTAGTCATACCTTGTAACATAAAAGCTCTGCGATTAATGGAGAGTACATTTTTTTCACAAGATTTCCCATTTCAAATAAAATCATGGGTGCCTATTTTCTTCAGATTGAATTCGAATTTCATCCTTTTATCAGTGTATCACCCAATAGCTGTGTAGTTCTATGCTCATTCATACTATCTTTATGTATGCTTCTAAGCATCTTGCAGAACTTGTAGGACTATTTTGGAGGGTAAAAGGTCTCTTTACGATCTTCGTTTTTCTTTTTATTTGCATTTAGGTAAATTGTCTAGCTTAACTGAAATTCAACATTTTTCTCATCACAATTGACTGCATCTTTGGAAACAACTTAACTTACTTTTTTATTCTGTTTATAACTTTTGAACTTTTATGCTCCCTTCTCCTGAATTGTGATTCTGAATGTTGCTGGTTTTCTTCAGTGACTTGATAGTTGATGCCCCATGAAATTTCGTATCCATTTTCTATTTTGCTTAATAACTCATTGCTTGAAATCCTAGTCAGTTTATAGTTTGGTGTTTAACTTGATATACTAACTCTGCCCTATAAGTGTCAATAGAGTAGGCTTTCCTGGTTTTAGTGTTTTGGTACGAGGTGTGCATCACACTGGCGACCTGCTTACATTAGGGTTATGTTGATCACGTATTTTACAACATGCCTATATGCAAACTCTTTATGTACACCATGCATACATGAATATTTACTCCTTCGAGTCTTAAGGGGTTGTTTGGGTCTCTGGAAATGCATCTCCAAGGGTTGCATTTCCTGGAATTGGTTTGATTTCCCCATTTGGATGTAAAAAATGGCTGGTGGGAGTTTAAAATAATTCTCCCCATAATTGTGCAAATTCGGAAATCAATATTTTGAAAAAAGGCAGAACAAAACAGCAATCCTTCTCATTCTCTCTCTCTATCGACTACTCCTGATTTTTACCTCGACAAGGATGACAACTTTTCCCTACAATGCTGGCCTGGCCCTGACAGGGCCAAAGAAACCGTGGCCCAGGCCCATCCCTGGCTGAATAAAATAAAAGTTAACCAACGGTAAACAATAACGAAAAAAGGGCCAGCCAAGGCTGAACTTGGCCGGCGCTATCACAGCCATGGCCCTGGCCCTCTGCCCACATTTTGTGGGCCAGGCGTTCTTTTTAGGGCCGAGCCGGGTTCACCAGCCCATTGCTAGCCCTAATTCAGATTGCTACTACTGAAACAGAGAACCCCAAATCATTTTAAACTTTCTTTTGCTATATTAACCACAATTATCTCTGATGAATATTAAAATAATGAAAGTATGATGTTGAGCATGATGAATACACTTCAATTCAAAACTAGTATTGCATTCAAACAGCCATTTCTGTGATCAATATAACAATCACACATATTTTCATTCCATTCCTTTTATTGGGTCTTGTGAATAAATTTTTGGCAATTGCTCAAGGTCTTCGATATCGATGTAAACTGGCTTATGCACAAGGCATTTGATGGTCAGAGGCGACGAGTGCAAATCTGCATGGGCATCCTCAAGCCATTTAAGGTTTTTATCTCTCCTCTCATCTATGATCTAGATGAACTTCAACCACTTTTTCTTCTCAAACTTTTTGTAAATAAAATATTGTGTTCATCTCTAGGAGTATGCATACCATGTTTACATATTTATAGAACACTGAGCATAATGTAGTTGTTGTAGGTACTTCTTCTTGAAGAGATCACTGTTGATCTAGACGTGCTTGCAAGGCCCGACCTGCTGAAGTTCCTCAAGAGGGAGTGTGAAGAGAAAGGCACTACCATTATATATGCAATACATATATTTGATGGCCTTGAAGATTGGCCTTCACATATTGTATGCTTATTATTTATCTCATCTTGGTCCGTAAGTTGTGTGCATGTGCTTGTGTATATTTCATAATTCCTACTTCCATGATACCGATCACTGAACTTCCAGGTATATGTTGCCCAAGGAGAACTGCAGTTAGCATCATCACCCATGGAGAAAGTTAAGGAAATGAGCAATCTTTCATTGATGGTTTGTACTTTTCTAATTACCATTATTGACATTCTTGCTGTTGTTCCATAGATTTTCTTTACAAATTCAGTTATATGGGTCATTATTTTCTTTGTGAGAGAGAAAATTTGAGAGTTGGCTGAGGAGAGAGAGGGATGAAGAGAGAGAAAGAAGGAAGGACAGGAAAGCAAATGGCCTTCCTGAGTTTGAGAGGAGAATCAAGGGTACTCGAGTGACAGGAGACCCTGCAAGACGTGCAGTTCGAGTTTTGAACAATGAATGGGCAGCAGGAAGATTGCACTCAACTGTGGCAGGTGAAGAGAATTTTGTTCAGTTCGAACAGTGTTCTAAGATAGTGATGCAGTACGTGAGAGAAACTATTATGCACTAGGATCAATAACGGTTAGAATTTTATTTAGATTGTTGTATTCCTAGCCCGCCACTGGAGAGAATTTAGTATTAGATTCATAGAGAACCAGTTGTTTGAATGGATTGAGATTACATATTGTAATGATTCTTGTAATGTACATGGAAATATAATATTAATGGGAGGCATCCATTCTTCCCTAATGCTCTTAGGCTTACTTTGGACATACCATTTATTAATGAATAATCACTTCTCTCCTCCGCCCATTCATGAATAGACTCTTTGGTCTGCTCCAGCTATTCATAAATGATACCCCATTCATCAGTATGTTATGGAACCTTCCAAACAGGACCTAGGAAGAGGCATTCAAACGCTATTTGGTGAAGTATTACTGATGAAGAGAGGGATTGTTTCCAGTTGGGATTTTAAATTTCACAAACTTTGCAAGTTTAGCAAAAAGAATTGTTTAGCTTTGGCTGTTATTGGGACTGACTTAAAGGGTTCAGTCCCTTGACATCTTAGTTTAGCCTGATATCTTACCACTACAACAAAAGTCCAAGGCGACAAACTAGCGATGATTCATGTTCATTAAAAACCCTAATTGAAATTGAAATTACTTTAACAAAATTATAATCATTTTACTTCATAGGAAAAAAAAAAACCAAAGTGAATTCATAGAGCAATCAAAAAGAAGAAAATCATATTTGCCTTCAATTGTCACAGCAAGATCTAATATCAGGCATGGAGATTGGAAGCCATGAAATTCAGTTGATTTTTCTGTTATCCTTTTTTTTTTTTTTGGCTTCCAAATAATACTTCTCACCTCCGTCCATGAACTCTAAAAAACTATAAACTATAGCTGAAGTTACGTACCATGATATAGCTTATGTTGTGCTTTTCTCACAAATTTGGGCGACGTTTGCAGCATTTGGAGCTACCAAGTTTTGGCAAATGATTTTCTATGCCACTTTGATGTTTTGAGAAGTTCGTAAAACTTTCAAAAATTTGAAACTACCAGGGCTGTTTTTCACCCCTTACGATTTTGCTTCTCTTTCCACAAAATGTGATATATTAGTGCATTAATTGAAGAAAGAAAACCCTTGTCTATTTCTCTCTTCCCATCACTACATCTCTTTAGAATTTAATACCCTCTCACTTCTAGGAATAAATTATCAACAGATCGCTTATTCTTTACACCTGAAAACTTAAAAAAACAAAAGGGAATGGAGCCCTTCACAAATGTGAGAGATTGCCTTCCAACGGATCAAAAGTCGACAAACATTTGACTGAAATTCTGGTGGTTATCTCAAGCCAAGAAACTGATAATCCTAGGGGTGGCAACAGGGGGGTCCAACTGAACCCGGACCAAACCTTTCGAGTCCAAAATTTAGACCCATACCTGGATCCAAGGTAGGGTCCTTCCATCAAGTCCCGGGTCTCGTTAGGTCCATTGCCACCCTAGTGTTTTTGTGAGACACGTGGAATATAACTATGAACTTCGTTTTTTTTTGTTTTTGCCCTTTTATTTACCATTGTATACTTATTGGCAACATATACATTATTGCACAGCATTTTGAATACCCATATTCCTTAGTATTGTATGTAATAACTGAAAATTCCTAAAAAACAAGCGTAATGGCAACATTTATGAATACCCACATATACCCATATTATTCAAGTCAAGTCCGGATGGACCCAAACCCAAACCCAAACAGTATTTAGGTCTAGGTTTTGGACCTGAACGTAGACCCAACCTTTCGATTCCAAAATTTCAACCTGTACCTGAACCCAAAGTCAAATCTACCCATCAGGTCTCAAGTTTGGTTAAATCCATTGCCACCCCTAAACATAGGGTTCTCTTTTTGGAAAGGAAAAGCATATTTGTGCAGATCCCTCGAAAATAAATCGATTGGAAGGGAAAAGCATATTTGTGCAGATCCCTCAAAATACATTCGATTGCAAAGAAAAAGCATATTTGTGCTCATCCCTTAAATTTTTATAATAAATGCAATCTATACAATGCCTAAAAGCAAAGCCTCACTTATTCTTAGTTAAAAAGTAAAAACATATTTGTTCGCATAACTTTAAATTTTATAATGAATGCAGTTTCTACAGGCCCATGTTTTATGAAAGACACCCTCAACTCGAATCCTCAGACAAAGCCTCAACTCGAATCCTCATCTGAAAAGCATTTTGGGTATCAAAAATCTCCATGATGACTTTAAAAACATTTCTAACACAGAATGAAATATGAAAAAAAAAATGGTATATATCTCATGAATCCATATACATTTATTTTAAGGCAGAACAGACAATCTAGGTAAGTATAACAATATTCATTATTTTTAGGACTTGAAATCTTTTTTTTTCTTTTTTACAACTATAATAGTCAACTCAAAAGATGATCGATTTGAAGATTTTTTAACGTCAAAACTACACCCCTTGCTTAAATAGTCCCAATATAAATTGCATTACCACCCAAATGCAACTGTAATCTATGGATTTCATTTCAAGAAATAATTGAATCCTACATTCACTATACAACAATTCAGGCTCAATGAAATTTAAGGCAGCAACAAAGCAAACAAACAGAGAGAGAGAGAGAAAGAGACAGACTCGTGACTTTGTAACCGATCAACCAACCCATGAGCAATGAATTTCAAGCCATAATATGGAAAGTAACAAAGAAAACAGCAAAGCTACGAAAGATGCAACAACAGTCTTGAGTTATTTTCTGGGGGTGCAAGGGTCAAAGAAAAAAAATCCATAGACTATTGAGAGAATCCTCAGAATGCTCAATCGACTGTCATATGCTTAGCAAGACCCACAATTTCTACTCCAACACTCCAGCAAACCCCAAAATCATCATAAGAGATAAACCAATTTTAAGCCTGTGACATTTGGTAAACACAAACAAGTTAGTTGAAAATTTCAAGAGCACGATTTTGTTATCATAAATAAAGTTAAGGCGAGATCAGTTCAGAAAATTGCAACTGATACACAACTCTAAATCATATATACAATGTATCATATATACAATGTATGTGTATGAGAGAGAGAGAGAGAGAGAGAGAGAGAAAGAGAGAGAGACATTACCCTGTTAGCGATGTTGTTTGAGAGCCAGTCTAATCCCTCATAAAGCCCCTCCCCAGAGGTAGCACATGTGCTCTGGATGTACCTGGAGAAAGGACCAACTATATTAATTTCTATTCTTAAGATCAATGGCACAATAAAATGAATGAGAAGAAAATAAAATCAAGAGAAATAAAACAGATAAGAGATTTTGCAAGGGAGGGAGGAGAGAGAAACCAGTGGCGTTGGCGGAGAGAGTGAAGGCCAAGCTTATCGGTGATCTCAGCAGCATTCATTGCGTTTGGGAGATCTTGCTTGTTAGCAAACACCAGCAGCACAGCATCCCTCAATTCATCCTGCAAAATAAAAATAACTAAAAAGTAAGCAAGTGATGAACAAAATCCTTATAGGACATACTTCTGTTAGTTTTAGTAGATCATTGACATAAATATGTAAATCAAGTTCCACAAGACAAGCTCTGCGAGTATGAAAGAAGAACACGCATTCATATTTCTCTAGAATGAAAATTCTAAGTAATTTCTATTTTCACCATATAAATAGTAGCACAAATGATTGGCAATATGATAACTGAGAACGAAGTTGAGAATAGCAAATAAAATTCATTTTTACAAGGTCAACCATGGAAACGAGAAACACACCAGGTCATCAGGTTGGTTCAGGATGCTTTTGATTTTTCCTCGGTAAGGTTTTGGCCGGTAGTTCATCTTCTTGGGGCATTTGCGATGATTTGGCATGGTCATGTATGTACCCTATGGATATGAAGTTCCCAAAAGACTCCATATCGCAAAAATCAATTGTTCTAATTAGAAATTCAAAGTCAATTAATACATATGATTTTGCTGTTGGTGAAATCTGATTACAGAAAAAATTAAGACAAACCTCAAAAAACTAAGATATAAGCAGGCAACATCTAATGAAGCATATAGTCCATCAAAAGGTTCCTAAAAGGACTCATAATGGGATCAGCGATCGATACAACAAAGCTAAAGAAAAATTTACGATAGTGGGTACTACATAACATTGAAGAATACAAACCAGGACGAATGTACGTCACATGAGGAAAATTTGCTTCAAAGAAGACCACCAACTTGATGAGCATAAGAAAGGAAATTATAAATAACAGGTTTATTAACAAATGGAAGCACATAAGGTATATTAGGAAGTTGACCTCATTCAGCATCCGATGCAGCTCATCCCTTGCCTCAACAATACGATCTCTGTCATTGCTATCAACAACAAAGATGAGACCTTGCGTGTTTTGGAAGTAATGTCTCCACAAAGGACGGATCTAGCATTCCATACACAGAAGTATAGTTAGTAAGCGATAAAAATCAGATACAAAACAATAAAGATTCCAACCCCCCCCCCCCCCTTCCCATAATAGCATGTGGAGAGAGAGAGAGAAAGAGGACTGCTAGTAAGTGTATATTGCATGCCTACAAATGGATATGAAACTAAACAAAACTACAATAGCATACCTTGTCCTGACCCCCAACATCCCACACAGTGAAGCTAATGTTCTTGTACTCCACAGTCTCCACATTAAATCCTGAAACAAGAAGAAACATTAAGTCATACTTCGTGACAAATACATAAACAGTAAGAAGCAGTATGACATATTTCTGTAATAGATGCAATTCAGAAAAGCTTCAAAAGCTACCATAAATAAAATCCCATGGAGCTTCGGATCATTTTAAACTCCTAGAATAGATATCAAACAAACCATGCCACATCCACATCCTCAAGGGATAAAGGATATAAGAAGACAGCACCAATTCATGTATTTTGGGGAAACAACCCATAAATTAGATACCAAATTAAAATTCTGATAGCAAGAAGTTGTAAAAAAATGGTTTTGCCTCAACAACTCCATGGATGAAATTTCTCAACAAGTTGTTGAGATAAATGGCATATGGTATACTCATAGATTTCTCTATCCATCAGGCTGAAGTCCAAGATTAAAATACCATGCTCACATGCTTTGATTGCCAAGTGAAAACCAATACAACCACAATAACAAAGATATACCAAAGCAAGAAAGAAATCACTAAAAAAATCTAGTAATTCATGAAATAGGTCCAAAGCATGTTTCCAAGAGATTGGTCCTTAAAAATCTAAATAATCGACATGCATCTTCTCGACCTCATTCACCCATGGAATTAGTTCGATAATAGCTGTTAACCTCAAAATTAATTTGTAGAATACTCTTTTAGTGATAAGAAAAATTGGACAAGATCATACATACCAATAGTGGGAATTGTGGTGACAATCTCTCCCAGCTTGAGCTTGTACAAAATGGTTGTCTTACCAGCGGCATCCAAACCAACCATAAGGATACGCATCTCCTTCTTTGCAAAAAGCCTACTGAAAAGCTTGGTGAAAGTCAGCCCCATCTTTGTGCCCTACAAACCAAGACAAATAGAATTAGCTTCAAGGACGAAGAAAACTATAAACAAATGAATTCACTTTTAGCATTCGTGTACTTTCCAGACCCAAGCACGTGTGGTACACGTACATACTGATCATAAGTACAGAGAGACTTAAACATACGAAATACCAAAAGCTAGAGAGGGAGAGAAAATGGAAATAGAGGATATCTTTGTAACCAAAACCAATGCCCCTACGCAACTCAAATTAATAGTCCATTTATGTGTTTTACTCCTAGTCATCTAATAAATTAGCAAATGTAGATAAAAATTTCTGGATGTCAACTTTGAGTACAGCAAGCTACTCTAGCATCAGATAGAAGCTGTCCTTCACAACTGGATTTGCATATCATTTAAGAAAAACCATGTTGGTGACTTTACAATGTTTGCATATAAAAGTCCATTAGGACATTGAAAAGTCCAGCATGTTACTAGAAAAAATATTCAGTCGGTCACTGAAAGTCAAAACAGCATGACTCTGCATAAATCAAATTTTCAGGTCAATAATGGAATAAAACACTGGATTCAACCTGATTTACATAAACAACTACAAAATCCATGATTCAGGAGTCCAATAGGCCATTGAAAAGTCAAGCATATTACTAGGAAAAATGTCCAATAGGTCATTGAAAGCCACAACGGCATGATTCTGTATAAACCAAATTTTCAGGTCAGAATAATTGATCAAAAGACTAAATTCAACCTGGTTTATATAAACTAATACAAAATTAATGATTCAGAAGTCAGGACCTCAAAGGAAACAAAAAAATTATACTATTATTGCTTAAAAAAATTAAAACCAATGATGATCCTAATGGATATAATTTTGTCTGGCAGCTAATCAATAATAATGTAAGGCGTAAATAAAATTTTAACAAAATAAAAAATTGAAAGTTCAGTTTTCCACCAAATCTTAAACTGGAAACAAAAAGAACAAAAAAAGAAAAGAAAAAGGAAGGCCAGGTCTAAAAGACAGATCATCATAAATGGTAGAAAAAAAACAGTTCACAATAAATTCCTTCAAATACAACAAATCAAAATATCAATATTAACAATGTCCTTATAAAAAGTTAACTATATACTCGAGGAAAAAAACAATGTCCTTATAAAAGGTAGGTGAATAAGATTCATCTCAGCAAAATCATAAAAAAATATAGATCATGCTGCAAATCCAATGGATCTACACCAAAACACAAAGAAATGGGCAAAAGTGGAGCAGATTTTCTGAAAAATAAACAGCAATAAATCAGACTCAAGATAGGACAAGTCCATCATGAAATGGGTCAGGAAGGCGGATTCAGCGTGCTTTCACAAAATTCACAAACATTACAACCAAAGGTTAGCACGATCCAAATGAACCAAAGAAAATCCAGAATACCTCAAAAGCATTCACAAATCAACCAAAGGCGTCAATTCAGCCTTTATAACCAAATGAATTGCCAAATTCCCCATTGAAATACCTAATTCATCAGTGTATTTATCATTTCATCCATTATATTGAAGATAAAAGCGGATCAGGCAAGGAAAGCAAACAGATCTGGTTAAAAAAAAGGCTTAAAATGAAGATCAAACAGGTGACATTAGGGATAAATTCAAATAGATGCTACATAGAGAAAGCAACAAATGATCGACAAATCAGAAAGAGAAAGCAACAAATGATCGACAAATCAGAGAGAGAAAGCAACAAATGATCGACAAATCAGAGAGAGAGAGAGAGAGAGAGAGAGAGCAACATACGAAAGATATATCAGAGAGAAAGCGAGGAAATGCCTGTTGTTAAGGATCTGTTAGAAGGGGAACAGAGGAGCAGCTTCTTCTTCTTCAGGCAATCTCCGTCAGATGCAAAATCTTCCAGAGAAAAGCTGCCCTCCAGACGATGAACTCAAGAAATTGAGGCTATTTATAGGGAGGGCCTGGTCTGAATCTTCAAATTCGATCAGCTAAAAGACGTAAATGCCTAGACAAATATGCTGAATGCCGGATGTATCCGTTCTGGTTCTACGAGAATAGTGACACCATGGTTATGATGGTCATCACCGCCCAATCAATGGGTTGGACGGTGATGGAGGGAGAGTATGATATGAAGTCAGACTAGTGAAGTTTGAGGGCTAATAGCCCTCCATCTCAATCTGATTCATTAATTGGACGGGGATGCCTCTCAAGACTATGTTTTATCATGTTCTTGCAGATAGATCATACTGAATTTTAAGGTGAGGTTAAGAATAGGGCCTAGGTTGGTTAATAGTTGATATTTGCATCATTATGTACTATATTTGTATTTTATTATCATCATCAGAACTTTTTTCCAACTATTTAAAGTCCGCTACATAAATCTTAGTCTACCATTCTGTTTTATCAAAGGCCATAAGTCCCTATATCGTTTTAAACAATGCTCTTGTTTGTATTTGTTCCCACCCCCCCCC